TTACTGAAATCTACCCTGACAGTAGTCAGTGCCATTGAGAAAGAGAAAAGGCCTGTGTTAGTTCATTGCTCCGATGGCTGGGATAGAACACCTCAGATTGTGGCATTGGCTGAACTACTGCTGGATCCTTACTATAGAACAATAGAGGTAGTGGCAGCTTTTCATCTTTTTATAGTTGTGTGATGTATTCCTAGTTTTGGCATCTTACAATGCATATGCCATGCGCCTCTAAGATAAGATTTAGTAATGTTTTGGAACAGTACATGATAATAATAATAATAAAGACCAATCTGCCTCCTCTCTTGCATGCTATAAGAAGTGGGCGGGAACTTCATTCTGAGCACCCTGAGCACCCCAAGTCTATTACTTCAGGAATTGCCGTTGACTAATTAAAACTGTGAAGGACAAATTTTGCATTCAGGTGGAACATCCATAAAGCAAATATCCTTGATGACTTTTTAGCCCTGACCAAGCAAATTAATAATTATTGTACTTGCATTCTATTTAATCCAGGGATTTCAAGTGTTAGTGGAGCGGGAATGGTTGGACTATGGACATAAATTTGCAGACCGGTGTGGACATTCTGTGAACAACGACGACATCAATGAAAGGTGTCCTGTCTTCCTGCAGTGGCTAGACTGTGTTCATCAGCTACTAAAACAGTTTCCATGTGCATTTGAGTTTAACGAAACTTTCCTGGTATGTGTATATTAATGAAAAATGACATTAAGAATTGGGAGAGTGATGCTTATCAGTAATTTTGTTTCAGTTGTGTGTAAGATTTGTTGCAGTTTGGTTATAATGCTTAATTCCTCCACCCAGCAATGCAAACCTTTTGAAATATATATGTATATTATATTAGTCGGCTATATTTAAAGCAGGGGAGTCGTCACCTGCGCATGCGTCAGATGGCCATAGCGTCATTGTTTATAAACAAGCGTCTACCCATGAGCCTTTGCGTTTTTAGCTTGTGTTGTTATTGTCGCTTGGGACTCAATTCCAGAGCATGCGCAGGTGACGACCTACTCGCTTTAATCAAGCTACATTGTTTGTAGACTTCACTTCACAATCATTAAACTGATTTACTCTGTTGTTTTCAGGTGAAATTGGTTCATCACACGTTTTCCAGCTTGTTTGGAACATTCCTTTGCAATAGTGCCATGGAACGACACAACTGTAGCATTGCAGATAGGACCTGCTCAGTGTGGTCGTTTGTCCAAGTCTATAAACACCAATATTGCAATTTACTCTATTCACCCCAAGACGAACAGGTGATGTGTTTTTTATTGCATTTACACAAAACCAAGTTACTGTAAAATGACTAATTTTCACTGGGTTTAAATTTCACTGATTTACCATTTCAGGCATATTCAATGAGTTTTAAATTCACGATTTTATTATTTAGATAATGTGTTCTATGCTCAATTTTACATATTCACTGGATTTTAATTTAGCGCATTTTCCAGTCAGCGAAATAAGCAAAATTAAAACCCAGTGAATAATTACCCCTTTTACAGTACTGTATTTTCTCTATTAGAAGTGTTTATTCTTGAGTAAATGACAGCGGTGCGTCTGTGTTCAAACTAAGTATATTATAATGATTCAGTTAAAAAATAAATTTTAGTTCATGTTACCTTTTTTTGGAGTCGTTTCTTAATAGAGAAAATACAGTAGCATATTTAGCAGTCTATGGTAGCCGTTAGTATATATAATGTAAACTAATTTCATTTCGC